TTTTAAGAGGAGGTTGGATGACCACCTTACTGGGGTCGTTTGACCCCAGTACTCTTTCCTGCCATGGCAGGGGGTCGGACTAGATGATCTGCTCAGGTCCCTTCCGACCCTAGAAACTATGAAACTATATCTCTGAGAACCTGGATTATGTTTGTTGGACATGGCCACATGGGAATTCCAAGGCAGAGCAGGGAACTGAACACAGACCCTCCCAGATCTGAGGGTAGTACCTATGTACTAAACCATCTGCTTGTTCTGTCCATTAGTGGACATGGTCACAGCCAATAACTACTATCTCTGAACCTCAATGTTTGTTTTTTTTTATAGCATGGATACTTCTTCCTTCAGGTCTGGCCACCTCCTGCACCCTGTGTTTACCTAAGGATATATGAAGCAGTCAGTCTCCAACATAAAGTTCTAATGGTCATTATAGCCTCCAATTTGGGTAAAGGAAATGTGCATATTTCAAATGTTTATTTCTTCTCCCAACAGTACTACCCATCTCAAGTAACCATAGAAAACAGCAAAGCGAATGAATGACCCACCCCACCCACACACATTATGCCCCAAGCTAAACAAGCCACACCGTGCACTAACTACAGAGATCTAAATGCCAAGTATGTTACCTTATGTAACAGTGGGAAGAATTATAAGCAAAAATCAATGGTCCTTTTTGCTGCCTTCAATAGAGCGCGTAATGAAAAATCTCCTATGAGAGGATATCCCAGCCCGCTTTAGCAAAACATGAAGACTCCTCTCCATGACACAGTTGGCTGCAAAATGCCATTTTTTTCATCTTGGGCATCTGCCCAAAAGTTAATCTGAAGTGATAGCTTTGGGTAGGTCATGTGTGAAATAGCTTAAAATTGCACTGACCCAGTTCCCGCGTGTAATAAATGTATGCATCACAGAGTCTGAAGCAGCCCTAGAACTGGCCAAGGAAATGAACTAAATGTTTTGCTGATATTACCAAGGATGCACACACAAAGATAGGCTTTAACTTGGCTTGACTAGAGAACTCCATTCCAATCACACAACTTCTTACCTAGATAATGACCACAACAGGTTGGACTTTGTGGAAATAAATTCAGAAAGCCATGTTACAGTGGGAAGAAGTCTGAACAGAGCCCATGCAACTGCAATGCAACTGCAGTGCAGAAGTCGAGGTTTCACCGCTACATAGACAACAGGCTTCTCCCTCAACCACTAAGGCAAATCTTGAAGTCTTTTCCTGTAACTTAGTAAGTTCTTCTCTAGGCAAAAACCTCATGGACTTTGGAAGTTGTGCATGAGTAAGGGCTGTGTGAAAGGTGGGTGAGGGCTCCAGAATTGGGCCCACTGTCCTTTTGAAGGCACTTTTTGGTTCACGTTTATAAACAGCAACTATATTCACTTTCAGAAAAAAATGGAAAAGTATTAATATTCCTCCTTCCCCACATGAAACAGAAGCAAACGTGGAGGAACTCTTCAGACATTCCTTCAGCCACAGCCCCAAAAAGGTAAAGGTTCCCAACATGCTGAGCTCTTCACCCACATATTTGTTAGCGATGCCCATGAGCTACACCTCCATCACAGATTTATTCATCATCTCCTGTCAACTGGCTTCAACCCTCACTTGCATCCAACACTCTCTGGACAAAACAGAAACCATATGCTGCACTTTAAACCTGAGAGTGGCCAGCTGGGCCCCCTAGAAAATCACAGAATCATAGAAAACTAAGGGTCTGCAGAAGAATTTCAAAACAGTGCCAGAGATGAGGATCCAAAAAGCCTCTCCTGAGTATACCAGGGGCTATGGCAGCTGACTTGGCTACAGCTTCTGGGATCTCTTCCATATCTCAGCAACCCTCAGCCATGAAAATCTGTCTGCTTTCCAGACTCTTCAGATGCAAAAGGCCCAGAGTGATGACTGATGATAACAGAGAGGTTTTTGGCCTAACCATTCTGACAGACTCAGGCTTTTCAAGCACCTGAACAGTCACCAACTGTTTGCAAGCAAAAGCTGCCCTCACTATATTGAGACAGGTAATCAGAGAACTGAGATGTAAAAATAACAATAGTGCCAAGCGATACAAAACAGCACTTACCCCATGTATCTGCCCTTCATGTTGGCAAAATCCTTTAGTTCCCGAGACACACTCAGGGCAGCACTTATTTGGAGGTATTTGGAGCACTTCACCCTAAACAGACAAAGCAGTCCTTTAAGCAACATGGAAGTGACACATGGTTTGAAGGGGCCCGTGGTGCTCCCAGATAAACAGCAACATGCTCAATCAGAAGTGTAATGCCACTCCTTTAGAGAGAGCCATCATACCACTTTCAGGTACTGAATCCAGCATCCCTAAGCCCACAATGCACCTAGGAAAAAATGCATGTTCCATAAATAACCCATGGAAGTCTGCTTCTCTCTTCTCTCTTCAGGAAAGTACTGGAAGTACTGGTGACAGCAATTTTTCTACCAAAAAGAAAAAAACTGACTCAAGGTAAAACAGTCTCATAAAGAGCCATAAACTCATAAAAATGTCCCAGGGAAATGTATCCTCTTTGTGACATTTAAAAAAATATCACTAAATTACAAGAGTAAAAAACCCCACTTTCTTATATCAAAATTTTTCAGGTAGTTTGGGAAAGAAAAGAGAAAATTAATTTATTATATATAATGGTATTTTAAGATTCCCGATATTTCTTTTCATCTTCAAAGTTCACTGGGAATTTTTGACCACCTTTAATTATGATATTTCCCTAGTGATACTTTTAAGCCTACTAATGCTTCACTTTGTATGCCTGCAGAAGCACAGTCTGCTTGCTATCCTCTGCTGAGCAGCTGGGTAAGACATTATGATGCCTGAAGTAAGCATTCATGAGAGGATGGAGGACTAAGAGTAGAAGACATTGGTAAAAACATTAGCCAACACAATGGGGCTGCTTTGCTTCCATTCCTTGGAGCACCTCCAAGGATTCTGCACAACAGCTTTCCCACTTTCATTCCTACTGTCCCAACTGTGTATGAAACATTCCAGACCTGGCACTGGGCCATACAAATACCACCCTATATAAAGCTTGTCTTGCAAGCAACTCACTGATGGCAATGGCATCTGAGGGGCCTTGGCCCTTTCCTGGAGGTGTTACACAATGCTCAGGGTGAGCAAACAGGCATAGCAAATAGGGCAGTCTGCAAGCAGTTCACTGGGAGAAAGAGAAGGAAGAGAAAGAGTAGCCAAACACCAAGCACCAAAGCCTGTTCCTAGAAGGTAAGTCAGCTTGGTCTGTCTGTGATTTAGTTTGATGAGCATTTGTTTGGCTGGTTGTTTGCTTGGGCCATCGACTCTAAACATTTGGCAAGTGCTGCTAGCTGAGTTATTGCTGCCTGTGTCTGACAAAAGCCCTAACAGGGGGATGGAGCCAGTCCAGGCCCAGGAGAGAATAAAAGGAGTCAGTCCAGGCCCAGGAGAGAATAAAAGGAGAGCCCTGGAGCAAACAGGTACCATAGTTTGCCAGCAGATCACAAGTCAGTTGGCTGACCCCCTCTTTGAAGGGGAGCCTTTAAGGTAAGTTGTTTCTTTAATTAAGAGTACCTAACCTAGTTATTTAGCAGAGATTGCTGGAACTCAGTGGTTAGATCAATACTTAAATCCCTTTTTAAATTATTAGCTGTAATTAGGGCAGACTAAGGCTAAGTAGAAGGTCATTCTGTAAGTTCAAAGTTTCTAGTCTAAGGGAACCCATAAATCAAGACCTTCTTAATGAGGAAACTCAGTTGTAACACTTTTTAAAAATATGTAGGTACATGTCCAGCAGCAGGGTGGGGGCTACCCAGTTCATTGCACCAAGTGCAGCATGTAGGGGCAGGTTTCATAGTGTGCACCTGATTCAAGGAATTCCTGGCTCTGACAAAAAATATACATTCTCTTGGGTTCAGGCGGCAGAACTGGAGCAGCTACAGGTAGGCAGAGAGGTTCATACATGAGGCTTTCAGGAACATTTTAGTCCCACCTCCACTGTAGCAGCTCCCATGCTACTGAGGAGGGCCTTAGGGTTGAAGGGTGTCAAGCTGGGAAGAAGGGAAATTATCCCTTAGCTAGGACCCACTTTCCAGCTGATGGTATAATGTTCTCTTGCACCAAGGATATTCCTCCAAGGGAATATCCTTCCCATAGAATAGAAGGAGACATAATGGTAATAGTGGGCAATTTGATTATTAAGCATATAGATAGGTGGGTTTGTGACATCAAGGAGGACCGCGCGGTGATTTGCCTGCCAGGTGCAAAGGTAGTGGACCTCATGGGATGTGTAAATAGGCTACTTAGGCTGCTAGGTGGGGCTGGGTTGCAGTCAGTGGTCACAATCCATGTGGGTACCAACAATGTGGGGAAGGGGAGCAAGGAGGTCCTGGAAGCTAAATTTACATTGCTAGATAGGAAATTGAAGTCCAGGGCCTGTATGATAGCATTCTCTGAAATGCTTTCATTGCCACACATAGGGCCAGGTAGACAGGCAGAGCTCCAGTCTCAATGTATGGCTGAGATGATGGGAGGAAGGGCTTAGGTTTATTAGGAACTGGGGGACCTTCTGGAACTGGAAGAGCCTATACAGAAGAGATGACCTCCACAAGTTGTGTTACACACCTGAGCCAAAATGGTACCACAACTGCTGGCATGTAACATTAAAAAAGTGGTAGAACAACTTCTAAACTAAAAAAAAAAAAAAAAAAAA